CATTGTGGTGGCTCCTCTTGCTGTGGAGCACGGGCTCTAGGCGTGCGAGCTTCAGTAGTTGTGGCACGTGGGCTCAGTAGTTGTGGCTTGCGGGCTCTAGAGCCCAGGCTCAGTAGTTGTGGCGCACAGGCTTAGTTGCTCCACGGCATGTGGGATCTTCCTGGACCAGGGCTCGAACCTGTGTCCCCTGCATTGGCAGGTGGATTCTTAACCACTGCATCACCAAGGAAGCCCAGGATTGATAGTTTTGCCAAGGATGTGAGAAAACGTGCAAAGTTGATGGGAAGCAAAATTGATGCAATTTCTCCAAAAGAGGATCTCATAATATGGAACAATATAAAGTATATGTGACTTTTGATCAAGGAATCCCCATTTCTAGAAATATAACTTAAGGAGTTAACTGAATGATCTTACTCTCTCATCCAGCAATTCTATTTCTAGGAATTTATTCCAAGGAAGTAATGACAGATGTGTTGGAAAGAATACGCAAAAAGAGGCTCATCTTAGCATTGTTTATAGTAGTCAAAAATTAGAAACATATGTTAACATATGTTTCTAACATATATGTTCAATGATGGGGGATTGGTTAAATAAATTTCATCAGTGGAATATTATTTATCTATTACATTAATTTATTAAGGGCCCACAATGTGCCAGATATTATTTTGGGTGTTGGAGACACAGCATGAAATGCAACACAAAAAGCCCTGCCTTCATGGAGCTTATGTGTTAGTGGGAAAAGACAGAAATAAGTAAAATAAATAAAATATAGAGCATGTTAGAAAGTGGTAGGTTCTCTGGAGAAAATAAAACAGAAAATGGGATAGGAAGTGGGAAGACATTTCAACAAAAACTTGAAGGGGATTCAGAAATAAGCTGCATATCCTGGGAAAGAGCCTTCCAAGCAGAGAAAACAGCAATTGCCAAGACCCTGAGGGGGCAGGTTACCCCACAGGTCTGAGAAAGAGTGAGGAGGCTGGTGTGACTGGAGAGGAGGAGGTGAGGATTGTACATACAGCCTTGTGGGCCAGTGTAAGGAGTTGGTTTCTACTTTGAGACAGGAAGCCTTTGGAAGGTTTTGAGCAGAGGAGGGGCAACATCTGTCTTATTTTCAGTAGGTTTACTCTGGCTGAGCACTAGACAATATGTGGGCGAGGTGGAAGCAACAACTAAGATCCAGTGCAGCCAAATAAATAAATATTAAAATAAAAAAGAAGAAGGTGAGAAGGGATGGGTCTGGTGTGGATGGTCAAAGCAAAAGGGTTGACATTAGGGATTAGTCAGGATAGGCAGTTCATCCGGTTCCTCATTAAAATGGTGTTATGCAAGGCCATCTAATGACTTAGAATGATGTTCCATTACGTTTTCTAAAAGCAGATCATGAAACAGTAAGAAGCATATTTACTGAGCACTTACTCTATGCTCTGCATTTTGCAAAGCACTTTAAGCATTATCTTGCCTAATTCTCCCAGTGACCACCTGACTCCTTCAATCAGTTGCCAAATCCTCTAACTTCTACCTTCAGCATGTTTTTCATATCCACGCCTTTCCATTTATCCCACTGCCACCATCCCAGTGCAGTCCCTTTATTAACCTCCTCCTTGACCTCTGTAAGATCTTTTGAACTGGTCTTCTTGCCCCCATCTCTCTGCTCTCACCTTTTGGCCTATCTCAACCTTATTTACTTTATATTCATGCTAATCCACTACCTCTGCTAAGAATCCTTCAGAGATTCTCCATCTAGTTTCCCACTTTCCGATCTTGATTTCTATGATACCTCACACCTACTCCACATTTCAGCCACGTGGTCTACTTGCAATTGTCAGGATATTTTCCTTGGTCTCCTCTCTCTATCTAGAAATCGTGCTCCTTCCATCTCTGCCCGTTGAAATTCTGCTGATTATTCCAGAAGCAGGTCAAGTGTCAACTGTTCAAATATGTTTTCTTCTTTTCCTATCAACTCTATATTGCCATTTCCGCATTGCTTACCACATGTTAACATTATGTCATCATTTGTATGTCATTATTTGTGGACTTATCTTTTCTGCCTACCAATATTTCTGAAGCCCCTATGACATGTCAAGGATATATACTAGGCATTTTACATGTGTTATCCAATTTAATTTAATCCTCACAATAGCCTTGTGAGATAGGTGTTACCATCCCCATTTTACAGATCAGGAATCTGAAGCTGTCAGAAGTTAATTAACTTGCTCAAAGTAGCATCCTTACTAAGTGGCAGAGTCATCATTCCTTCACCAAATTTTATTCTAATCCATGTCTGCCAGATTTCTAAACCCTCTGGGCTTTTCAACATAGATTGGGATGTCCCTTTGGGGGCAATTAGCACTGAAGCCTCAGGGCAATACCGATCTGGGAAAGGCAGTTTTCTCTTCCTCTCTCATTTGATTTAGATTCATTGTGCTATAGAAAATGCTCCTTTGGCTCTCAGTCAGCACTTAGCCTGGGCTAGCACAGGACTAAAGAAATGATTCATGAAGACAAACACCACACAGGATGTTAGTTCCACTGGTGACCCTGATTATTGTAAAACTGTGAAAGGAACGCCAAGCCCCAGCACACGTTTAGCAATCTAGAACTCCCAGCTCTCTGCCCCCTCAGTTTAGGCTTTACCCTAAACCTTTTTGCTCCCTGATTCGATCCAGACGGATGCCTCAGATTTCAGAAACAAGGCAGGAACAGCACTGTCGTCATTAGGGTCAGCCTTGGCCGATAAGACTCCCTGCCATTAATACCCAGCAAAGACGCACAAGAAATTCACATGAAGAATAAGAACAGGGAAGGGTTAGTCTACCCTGAATTGCTTTTTTCACCATTGAGGATTGGAAGCCCCTAAAACTTATTGGGTCAATTCATACTGGCAAACAAAGAATATTATAATAATGGGTTTATTCTCTTCCTTGTTGTTTTGGAGTCGAGGGTGTTCAGCAGCCACTGTTTGCTCAAGAAGAGTGTAAACAGGACTTGCTGACGCCCGTGGCCAACACAGATGACTCTTAAGCCACTTTCACTCCGGCATGGGGTGTGGATCTAATGGTAAAGAAGCTGAATGGGAAAGAGAGTTAGGTAACTCTAATTTGTGTTTTATTTGTATTTTCTCTTTCGGTCCTCAAAGCAATCTTTTTTGAGGTAGATGTTATTGAAATACCAATTCTACAGATCTGAAAACTGGGTGGTAAGTAACAGGCAGGGACTGGAACCCTGGTATGTTGAGTTCCACAGCTTTCCACTGCCCTCAGCTTATGCTCTGTGGCAAGGCCTCTTGCTTAGGCAAATGCCAATCATTTAAAAAGGACTAAAGGCAAAATTTCTACACAAGTTAGAGCTCTCAAGTATCAATATTCTTCCCTCCCTCCCAAGCAAGATGATACAAAGTGTTTAATTTCTTAAACGTCTCATATTTTCCATAGTGGACAAAGATATCAACAAGAAGTGGTAGTTGAACTGTAAGATTGTTACCTTCCACACAGGGGGACTCCTATGTTGGATTCTTAGGCAAGTGAGTCTGCTTGATGGAACTCACTTGGTTGGTTAGACCACAGGCCACCAAGGCCAGTAAGCAACACTCACTGACAAAATCATCCTGTTCCCAGCCATCTTTAAAACAGGTCATACAGTGGCTGGGTGAAAATGTGGATGGCCCAGGGCCGGACACTGCTGGGACTGATACAAGTTACAAAAATTTCCACTGACTGGGGTCACTTGTTCATATTCATGAATGAAGTGAAGTATCTTTATTCACACAAAAATTCTCTTCTCTCTTCCCACCCCCCTCACTTCTTCATGATCTGTTTTGTTATAGATGGTCTAATGGTTAGAATACCATCATAATAATACATTTCCATGTGGGACGGGGTTATGGTTGCTAATCACTAGTTAACAATGACAACTTATAAATAATATTTCAACCTCTCAAAACCTTAGCCAAGTATGACATTTCAGATTAATTTCACAGGGCTAGACTCTTAATGTATTACAAAGTCTTTCACATTTCACGTAGATGACAACTTTTATTTGCCTTCTGCCATGAAGTTCTTGTAAAAATGCTGTTGCTGCGTCTGCCATATGGTTTTTAAAAAGTTACTCAGAACACAGCCAATTATTGTTATTTCAATACCATAGAAACTACTGAGTTTTGTTACTCCTTTTTTTGTATCCCTCCAAAAGAATGTTCAAAGGCATTTTTGGTTGGAAGACATTCACTACTTATTCTCTGAATTATGTTGGCAACATTTTAGAAACACCTTGAAAAAGACTTACGACATATGTCAGCAAAAGTCCAGAGAAGGAAAGTAGAGATTGGCTGAAAGTGAGATACTACAGAACTCAAAGTCTGGCCAAAGGTGGGTCATGCACTGTCAGGTACACTAAAGAAAGCACACCAGGGGAAGCAAACTATAAACAGGATCCACATTTAGCAGCCCACAAGGAAACTGGATGTTTAATACCAAGGGAAGAGAGGTGATGGGATCCTTCAGTCCCCCTTGCAGACCTCCCATTTTCATACTTTCTTGAAGCCATGATAAAAATCACAAGGATTCCCACTTCGATCCATTATTTTCCTTTGGCCTTCCAAACTCCTTTCTTACCCCACTTCTCCCTTTTCCCACTTTCTATTTTGCCCCTCTGTACATAATCTTTTTTCAACCACTTTTAAGGTAATTTCATCCCAGCTGGGAAACAACCCATGTCTTCTCCTTCCCTCATTCCCAAGTCCAGGGACTCAGGTCCCTCCTGAGGTCCTTGGAGCTGGGACCTTTCCTGAGCTCAGCAGCCCAAGCTGTGAGGCTGATCTGTTTCGTGAGTCCTCCAGTGGGCTGGCTTCTCCATGACGCCAGTCTACTCCTCTTCCTCCCCCACCCCCCCATCCCCAAAGAAACCTAAACTCCGTGGCCTCTGAAACTGTCTGTGCGTGGGTCCCAAGATCCCCGCCGGGATCCAAGATTTTTCTGACCTAAGAGGGGTCGGGTCGGGAGTACCTCTTTGCAGGCGTGAAGCTCCGGTCCCGCTCCCTGAGTCACCTGGAAGGTGGTCCCAGCCCAGAGCAGCAGCCGCAGAAGCCGGAGTGTGCGCGGCTCAGTTCTTCCCCTGCCCCTGGCAGAGGGATGGAGGCTGTGCCCAGGCTCAGCCATAGTGTTGTTCTGAGCGAGCGGCAGCAGCGG